TTATAGTCTTCTAAGGTGATTTTCTTCAAATACTTAGTAGTAAAATAAACAAACAATACATCTGGATAGGTAACTTTGAAGAAAAGTGTAGTACTGGACTCCTTCCCAGGGAGGGAGGTGCAACAAATCCCAGATCCTCCAAGTCCTCAGATACTGAGCTGTTCCAATAAAAATTAGAGATGCAGACATAAGATCAAAAGAACATAGTTGAAGAATTCTGCTTTGCCATCTCAGTTGGTAGGCCTAGTCTGGACAGGATGAGACACAGCAAGTCACCCTTCTATCAGGGATGCTTTTCTGCACTGAGGACTTTTCCACTTTGATTCTATACCTACGGCCCACTCATTCTCCTCTCCACTGTACATGTGGCATAAAGAAGGCAATGTGCCAAGCCCAACTACAAACAGACAACAAAATCAGAGGTATTTCAGATTATCATGTGAAGACTGGTTCTGAAACTTTGCTTTTAAATACTTTGACTTCTTTAAGTGTTGTCAAAGGAATGAGATTAAAAATAGACCTTAGCCCTGATGGCAGCAGTAATTTAGAAACAATTCTGCTGCTTTATATATAAGTTGTTTGTCATCTTCTTTCCTTGTTTGTTAGCACTAAAGGGCATGTGTGTGGTAACACAATCTTCATGTTTTATAAGTCTTCCTGTGCTTCTATTGCTTTGCTCCCTAATCCAAAATCCTAATCTCCTGTGACATCCCTATTAGTTGCTCTGATCAAAATTCTGTTGCCACAGATGGAGGATTATGACATCAGGCAAGGACTGTAAGCAGTAGGAGTAAATGAACTCTTTGAGACAAAGGTCCTTTTATGATGCAAATGGCCCATAATACTAAGGAGTGAGGCAAGATGTAATAGCCAACATCTATGCTGTGCCATCACAGCTGACTCTAAAGATGGCAGACCAGGCTTCAAGCTTCCTTGTGGTAATGTCAAGCTTTTAAAATTCCTCATTATTGTTTTTTTTAATTTTTCTTCTTTTTTTACCCTCTGGCTACTGTGAAAGTGCTGTTCCCATATTCACAGTTGGTTACTGTAAAATACAATTCAGAAACCGTAATACTGACCATGAATTCAAGTACTTCAGCTCTCTGGACTTGCTCACTATTAACAACTCAAGCCACAAGTATGAGGCCTCATGCAGCCTTATTCCTTGAGTAGAGTCCTTTCTCTTGGGGCACCTAGACAAAGGATATGCCCATTGTCAAGTCCAGTTACTGATTAAAGAAGAGTGTAGGAAGAGTGGAGAATCATTGTCATTGAAAATGCTGTTCTGCTCTGCTTCTATATAATGATGTTTACAGTCGATACTGTATCAAGTTTGCATAGATTCACAGTTACTTTCTGGATTTATTTTTAAATATATGTGTATAACTTGCTTGTTTATACCTTTAGAACATTCATATTTGTGGTTAGAGATTAGATGGTGGGATAGTGATGTACAGGAAGAGGTATCAGTTCGTCATTCCTTATCCTCAGATAAGGAATCGTCAGAATTCCTTATCCATGGACATTTTAGGCAAAATGACAACTAATATTCTATTTCAGATTGTTAAATGTCCTCCCTTCTTTTGCTGGGCCAGAGTAAGTCTGAAGCAAGTGTCAGATCACCACCTGATGCATGTGTATCTATATATTTATACCCATTTTTTACAAGAGTAAAGGCAGGAGGGAAGTGTGTACATACATGTGCCTTCCAGCCCACACTGGAAAGTCTGTCAGCTCTGTTGTAATCCTGGAAGTGATCTGTTAACTTCACACTGTGCTACTGAGACCACTGGGATTTACATGGCTGCAAATGAGAGTCAAGTGGGTGGAAAGAAGAGGCGGAGGGGAGGAGAAAAGTGTTGAAAAATGCTGCTCAACTTTCCTTCAGTATGGCAACATGGGGTTTTCTTGCTGTGGCTGCTGCTGCTGCCTCTTTTCAGTAGGTGAACTTTCTTTCAGAGATTTTGTTGTTTTCTTCTGTTACCCACACTTATGCTTCTACCTAGAGGTTTTGAGTTTTGTAGGTTTGTTTTTTTTTTAATAGTGTAATAAATTTTGGAAGAAGCTCATGCCTTTGTTAACATTAAGTGAAACTCTGCCAACTGATTCACACATTCCTTCTCATTGCAGGAGAGATATCCTGCAAAGAAACACAGATAGCTAAAAAGCTACTGAAATTCACCTCTTCTGTTCTCGCAGAGGGGAAAGGTGATCTGGTGGGAAGAGCAGGAACCTGGCACCAAAGTTATGATGGTCCCTTCCTGGCTTGGTCTTTCAATTGTAGGAGGATCATGTTCTGACATGAGGCTTCCAGTTAGATGTGAGTTCTACAAAGGCTTGTAAATATGGAAGTGCCCAGGTACACAATCTGAATACCAGAGAAATACTGAATACTTCAGTGAAATCATTATGGATGTTGTCAGATGGAGGTTGAAGAGTTTCATGTTAGCTAAAGATATTTGAAAATGCTGTCTCCATTTTGGTCTGTCCTATCTCATCTATATAATACCGATGGTAGTGTTGATGTGATGAAGAAATAAGAGTGAAGAGTAGGATAAACCTCATGGAGTTGCTGTCATCTGTGATGACAGATGCTGGGAGGGGTTGAACAGTGGTTTTTCTTTGTCCTTGTGGTATTGTCCTAGACTGGAAGTGGCTAATAAACTGGTCTCAAGCAGCCTAGCCAGTTGATCCTCTTCTCTCTGGTTTATTTCTTTTGTTTCTTCTTCTTTTCCAACATTTGCAGGATACAGAATAGTAAATATGTCAAATGTATTTGTACATTTTATTTGAAGTACTGCACAACAGGAGTGGCATACCTTTGTCTAGAATGCTGAAGATAAAACACCTTCCCAGGAAGTAACTTCTAAACTCATGTTCTTGTAATCTATGACTTGCAGCTTCACACCTGTGCTCAGATGATTCAGAATCCAGCTACCTCCTTGTGGATGTCATACTAGCTGTCATTCAGATTCCCTCTGTTCTGAAGATCACTTTTTTGCCTATTGCTTGGATTTTGCCTTTGCAAGGTTTATCTGAGTAGGATAGCAACTGTTAGCTGCAAATCACAGAACAGTGAAAGGCTATTCTGTTAGTAGTGACTGCTTCCTTCTCTGCTTCTCTCAAAGGCATCAAACCACTCCAGAATAGAGAAGTGTTGTGGACTAATGTCATGCCCTTCTGGGGACTTTGTTGACGTGTTTCCAGAGGAACCTATGTAATACCACTCTTCACAGCTATAAAGCAAAGTTGTAGCCAGCTGAGGCTTCAAAACTTCAGTTTTGGGGTTCTTTGGGTAGGATGAAGCATTGCTCGTGGGCTCATTTCCTAGCCTTCGTTTCCACCAGGGGATTAAACTTCTGGGAAAGCAGGACAACCTGGTCATGTTTGTTATCCTTGCATCACACCATATTTTATAGTAAACTTCTGTGAGCAAGCTTGGAACATATGACTTGGGCCTGTGTAAGAGGGAATATGTTCCTGTTCCCTCTTCTTTCTTGCACTTTGTTACAGATTGCTGTTTTGTTGTGAAGTGTGCAGTTGTCTTTGTGCTCTTTCTTCCTGATTTTCTTGCATGTCCAGGAATGGAAGAATGTTTGGTTAGTGCTTTTTCTCTTCTGCATGAGGATCCTGATGGTAATGGTAGTGATTAATTGAAGCTTTCGTGGGCCTGACCAAAGTGATTCTCTCACCTTTATTTTACCCTTTTCTTGTCATCCCTTCTCCAGGACCAAGCACTACCTGCCAGGAAGATTCCTGTGCGAATCAGGGCATCTGTAATCAGCAGTGGGAAGGCTTCACATGTGATTGCTCCATGACTTCATATTCTGGGAGCCAGTGTAACGACCGTAAGTAGACTTTTCCATTGTATTGCTGAATTCTGACATTTGGGTGCACAGAGAACACATGATGAGTCATTCTTTCAATTGCAATACAACTTTACCAGCGTCAAAACCAAACTTTTTTTTCCTGGAAAGTTTGTATAAAGCATACAGCAGGTTATTTTCTTTTCTTATTAAAATGAAAATGTGCAATTCGGTATGTGTTGATTTTGTTTGTGGTTTTTTTCTTCTCTTTGAAAGCCGACTCAACCAGGCCAGTGGTGGTAATTGATGTTAACGGAATTCCTGGTTTAGAAGAACCAGGAATACTGTATGTAATATTTACATAGGTAAAAAATGGCTAGGTTTTCTGTACTGAATTATGCTTTGATATTTTTATTCAAACCTTGGTGAAAAAGATATGGAATGCCTGTAAAATGAGTAGTGTTCTGCTGAAATACCTGCTGTATGCTAAGAAGAAGTATTGGATACTGTTTGCTAGAATGTTCAGTTAAAACCAGTGATCAGTTAAACATATGGCAGCACTGTTGGGCTTCTTGGCGTATTGATTTGCTTTATCTCAAAACGTTGGATGTTCTTCTTGGCCAATTGTTATTAAGATCTCTGATAAAATAATTGAATAAAACCCTTAAATCTTCCTTTAGGGGGCAGATAATCAGCTTTTTGACATTCCCTCTGCTCATCATGATTTGGCCTTTACTCCTGCCTGGAGGGAGCAGATCAGTTAAGCTCTACTGTCTGCCTACTGTTATTTAGGGTGACAGTCCCCTTCTCCCTCACTGCTCCAAGGCAGGGAACAAAGGAGCACATTATGAATGCTGTAGTAAGCACAATAGTAGGCTTCAATAATTTGGTTCATTGTGTGTGTAAATTTTAAAACCAGAGAAGATTCTTACAGTCCACTCTGACCACCTGCAGCTCAGAAGCTGCTGCTTTTCATTATTGGTGGTAAAATTTATTGGTGGTACCAGCAAAGTTCACTCAGTATTGGTGTCTCAGCACTGTCGTATTTGCAACCCTTTCTCTAAAAGTCTGAGATGTGACTGAATTGATGGCACATATGACAAGCTGTTTAGCACATGGTGACAGTCTGTTTCTTCTGAAGGCTAAAAAGCCTGCTTTTCTGAGTAGTTTCTGTAGTGTTGCCTGCATTGGTCTCCCATTTCTCCCATCACAGTTCTCCCAAACAAATATTGGAAAGGCCTATCAACATTCGTACTTTGATAGTGGCTGTATGAAAAAATTACTGCTGACGCAGGTTTATAGACTGTAATGCCATGCCTGGTGTTTTGGGATGCTTTGGAATTCAGAATTACTTCTTTGGGTCCAGAAAAAAATGTTTCATATCGGAGTCACATGATCTAGCGCCAATTTTCTGCAGTTTTGTTTTGTTTTGTTTTTGTCAATTGGACACTCGCTTTCCCAGTCTCAAACTACTTGTTCAGTCATTCAGTTTAGACTTGCTAAGCATAGCACACAAACGTTGTGTGAAAGAAGCACATCCAGGAAATCTCTGATATTATTGATATAGATTTGTTTCTAATGTGTTTGGCTTCACAGCTCTAGAATGTCACAGTGCCCTTGTTAAGCTGTTGCTAATGACTTAGAGAAGGCTCTGAAGTATCAGGAAGGTTCCTGTGTCTGTAATTGGGCATTTCTTGCTGCTTTTTAAAGTTGTCAGCTGGAAACCATGCAGAGCAGAGAGGGGAGAGTTTGATATGAGTGGGCATGATGTGGGCAGCGTAGTAGCCAGTCTCTCAATGGCAGGCCTGGCTGTTGATTTAGAAATGCTCACAGGAGGATGTGGGTTTCAAAATGATCTGGAAAGGTAAGTCATGTGGACTCCTCCTGGAAGACAACAGGACTTCAACCAGGATCTTCAAAAAGTGCGTATAACATTTTTTGTGTTTTGTTTTGGTTTTGTTTTATTTATTTTTTTCTTTGTCATGTATCAGGACACTGAAAACAGAGTTCTACTCCTGATTTCCTGATACAGTTAGGAAGTGTTGTGAGTTGTGGAGAGGGATAAGGCTTAATTCCTATTGTACACAAGTCTAATGAAAGTACAGAGATCGGTATGTTAATTGAAGTAAATACTCTTTAGACTGGATTTTAGTGCAAATAATGGCAGGGGGAGATACCTTCTGTGTAACCTGAAGCCTTTTATTTAGAAATGCATTAAGATCTTTGGTAGAATTTTTTTTTGTCCCCAGCAGTCTAATTCTATTAATTTAGTAGATGGCTTTTTCTACCTTCTGAGCAACTCGTGGTCTCCCACTGATGTAAATATGGAGTATTGAAGTAAATAGAACAGGTCTAGTTTTGCACAATGGAAACAGTAGTAAAAGAATGTCTTACTATAAGTATTTTGCCTTTTCATTTCTATTAATCAACTTGAGTGTCCATACTGGAAAATTTGAATTTTCATGTGTTTGATGCAGAATATTTCAGTGCCTCTGAGACAGATAAATGAGACCTATGGTGTTTTCTTCAATTATTCTTGATGATCTCCTTAGATTATCCCAAATTAATTATTAGTAGATGTGATTTGTGTTTGGGTTTTTTAAATTATTTGCTGGGGTAAACTTTGCAAAGATATTTAGTCCTATCAATACTCAGGAAATCTTAGAGCACCAGTATGTCTTTGCTTTTTAATTTTTGTCTCAGGACTGGACTGTTAATCTTCATAATTCAGGTGTAACTGGCTAGGAACTGCTGTTCCTGAAAGATGAAGGGGAAGCACAGGTGTCATAGATGCATGCTGTACACCTATAGACATACTTATACATTCACCAGTATTGTTTAATAAGATGAGGACTTAAATTTCTCATTGAAATTATGATAAAGCCTTTGATTTTATACGTTGTATAGCTATGTTTTAGTTGTTCTTTACACTGTAGAAATCAAGATTCCTTGGAATAAGAAATTAATGGAAGCTATGGGGGCATAAATTCAGTTTTAATATGCTTCATTCCTTATTGTAAAATTGTACCAATATTAAAAAAAAACCCAAACAAACATAGAAAAACCCCCCAGGCACCCAAGTCCTCAAATTTATTTGAGAAGGTCTGTTGTACAGAAGTGAATTTAAGGATTTGCCCTGTACGCTGGCTGGTACCAACACCTGTAAAGGAAGGCAGAAATAGAACTGATGGTATCATTTGGGATATGCTGGTTCCATTCCCCTTGCCATTAAGGTCTGTTCTTTGGTTTTTGAAGTTGTTCCTCATTCTTCAGTCTTTGGAAATGTTTTAATCAGTTCAGCATCACATTCAATAATTGTGGGCTTCCAACCTGCTTTCAGAATTTATGTATTACTCTAGGATGTAGGAAGTCAGTATACTGCAATTAATTTAGGAATAACTGTTGAAATGTGTAACATGTAAGGTAGCAGTATTAGAAGTTAACCCACAACATTAATGAAGTGTCTTGCATCTGGGGTGAACTCCATCCTGTTACTGTTCCTAAACTGGATACAAGATGCAAACACGATAGTTAGGCACTCCAACCTACCTGAGATATGACCTGTATTTAAGCTGTTGTCCTATGAACAGCTTTACAGATTCTTTAACTTATTCATGTTCTTCTCTCTCTAGTCAAACAATTACATTTTCTTTTCTGCACAGAGAGAATGCATAGAAAGAGGCATTGGCAATCTAGCTAATGGTAGTGGTATATGTATGTCAAACTAGATCATAGAAAACACTGCTTCTTACTCTGCCTCATGCAGATGAGTAACCCTGAGGGTCAAGCTTTCCAGGAGAAATTGCCAGGCTAAAACAAGTAAGTTTTAATGGAGGCTGTCTGTAAAATATCAATGACCTGCAGCAATGACTAGTTCCAGCAGAGTATAAAACACCTTTTCAAACAGCTTTTTTTGTTGTTGTTGTTTTGTTGGAACAGTTGTTAAGTCCATCTGCTGACTATCGATTGGCTTTTTGGAGGGGTTATTTATTCATTTATTTATAAACTCTGGGTTTTTACTGTTAATCTGTGAATCACATTTGGAGGAGGGAAGGACTGGAGGGAAAGGGAGTCATGATGATTTTACTTGTTTATTCATTAATTTAGCACTGTCACAAGAAGAGCTTTTGATAACTTCAGTTCTGTAATCACAGTGATGCTTTCTAGCCAAGACATTTTTCCCCCCTGACTTAAAAGGAAGGATATCAAAATTAGCAAAAAAAGTCTAAACCAAATACTTTAGAGTAAAGCACAAAGTATTTTTGATCAACTGAGGAAGACTGAAGCTGGCCTCTTTGCCACATGTGTGTTCTAGGTGAGATGCCAAGGATATCTGAACAGACTCATACCTCTTGCATTAATACCCTTCCTTTTTGCACTCTACTAAGTAAGTGAATGAGTACCTAAGTGTATTGATGCTTCTGGAGCATTGTCTGTAAACTAGGTTGCAAAAAGGCAGTGGCAGAACTAGTTTCCCTCATGCCTGCTTAAATAGCGTGGCAGAATTGTCATTAGAAGAGACTGCTAGAAGGGGAAATGGCTAAATGAGTAACCCTTACTTTATGCTTTATTCTGCTGTGTTCATGAGCCATTTGCACTCCAAATTTACTTTGCGCCACTGAGCAGTTAAGCTCATGCTCTCTGTGGCAGGATTCAGACCTCCAGTCAGGGGATCGACCCTATTCCCTCTCCCTTAGTATTTTGTTTTTCATCATCTGGGCCATCCAGACTTCATGACCTCCTTTAATGTCAATGCCAGCATACTCAGCTTGATTTACTTAGAGAACCCTCTTCATTGTTCATGTTTAATTATCACCCATTTGTTTCTAATGTGCCCAGCTTACTCACTTACTGAGTCAGAGAGCAAGAGGTTGCTAGTATGTAGAAAATAAATCTGCATAGACTTCATTAGGCATGCATGGCTAAACCAGTCAGCTGTTTAAATATCAGCATGCTTAGGGATTTGCCTTTGATACTACAGAGACATCCGCCCTACATGAAGCAAGAGTCACCTCCGATTTATCTTGAGTGAATCATACTTC